TCAGGCATCTTCCGCCTCCAACATGCACACAGGCAGCTGAAGGATGAAAAAGACCCTGAACCAAACCAGGCCTATACATTTATCTCTTCAGTTGGGCTAGCCCCATTCTACACAGGAACGTCAACCGTGACGTGTCCCTGCTGCCAGCTTTGCAGCTGGTCATAGCAGTAGTCAAAACATGAAGCAAATCAATGTGTGTGTGTCTGTTAATTGTGGTGTGTAGCTAAAAACAATCTGACATGACATCTAGTGACATGTCATGACATTAAACATAAGAAAATATTATGGCTAAGGCTACAGTTCTACACGTCATAATAATAATATTAAACATCCTGTCTGCTGACAGTCATCAACTTTTCTCTCTAGTTATCCTTGACCAGATGTACCCTGTAGAAACTCATGAGCATGACTAAGCATTTGACAGCCTAAACTAGACATCCTGTCTCCACTAAACATTTCTAATACAACAAGTACCTAACCAATATCTATCTGACTAAAAATACCTAACACAGTGACATCAGCATATTAAAGCTTCTGCTGACTCAGCAATGTACAAGGACATCCCGTGCAAATTTGTGTGTTTTATTTTGTAATGTGACTCTCTTGGTTACATGCCATGGGCAAGTGTGTGCATTTATGGCTGTACACATGATTTATTCTGAGAGTGGGATGTACTGTAAGAGTACCGCACAATGTAGCCAGGGTCTGACAAGATAAGAGCATTGCAGTATTTTGTTTGTGTGAGGAGAGAGAGGAAGAGAGATATGAGAGAGGGTGACTCATTGACTCTTTGCTGCTCCGTGGTTGTTCATGCAAATGAGTCTGTTGACATGCCAGTCTGCTCACAAAAGACAAGCCATTAGCTGTCCGTTCCATCTCCTGCTATCCTTCTCTCCATTGCGCTCTCTCATACCTCTTTTCCATTTTTCAAGTCCTTAGCATCTCCTTCTCCCTGTTTCTCTCTTATCTCCCTCTCTCTCTTTGCACCTATTTCCATCTGTTGCTCTTTAACATGTTTTTCCTCCCTTGTTTCCTTTTACCTGCCTTCTACCTTCAGCTCCCTGTTGCCCTGTTGGCGATTGCAACCTGAATCTGCCCATTTTGATAATCTTAATATGGAAAATGTGGACCGCTCTGGCCTTACTATTCTAGAGGACAACAACATTTACATAGCCATGTGCTGTATAAAATACTGTAAACCTCACTCGTGCATAAACACAATATGCAAATATGCACACAGAGTGACTACTACAAAGTACAAAGCTCAAGGACCACAATCAATAAAACTTGCATTTAATTGCAATACAAATTTGCTCCAGTGTAAATTTATTATAAAAAAAAAGCAAGCAAGCTGCGAAGATTTATTAGAGATACAGGTGCAGAACTACCTTTAATAGTGTTTTTTTTTCTTGTCGTAACAATGCCATGATCTTAAACAGAACTCAGTGTAAATATTTAACAACCAGTTACAAAGATGTGTCAGTATTACATACTTGGTGAGGACACGACATGCTGGCCTCCTCTTACAGAGGAAATAAACACAGGGCCTGAAGATCACACAATATTTTACTTGATTGAACCAAATTTGTGCTAATCTTAGTTTATGTAGCCTTAAGCCCCCCCCCCGACAGTTTTTAAAAGGAAGTTCACTGTGCAACAGTAACACAGTGATACTGTAACAGCAAAACAGTAAAAACAGCTGTACAGTGGTTTGATGAAGTTACTGACCACTGGCAGGGCCCATCTGTTGTTGCTGCAATGGAGAGCAACCCAAATTTGGAGCAATACAGTGTGATATACAGTGTGCACAGGAAAATGACTAAGGAATGAATGAAGTCTGAGCTTCACAGTGTAGTGACTTTAGCTTTAAATTGTGGAGTTTTTAAGGCACTGCTCCAGTCTGTGCTTGTCTAGTAAAAGTGCACCTACAGTTGCAGTTGTTCATGTAAATAGCAAGTTGCTGCACAATCTTTGTTGCTGATCAGACTGCTTGTAGCAATTTAACTTTTAACAAATAATAAAAGGACATAACCTGTGACTATAACTCAGATATGCACACTAAGTGTATAAAATATGAGCAATGTGATGTCTCAAAGCATAAAAAGCATAAAAAACATTTCAAGGCAATCAGCAATTTTCATTTCCTCTGTTGTAATTAAAGTAGATTTATAGGGTAACTTGTGTTTATGACAACTGCATCATATTTTAATTATATTATATAATGTTAATTGCAGCGATCTGGGAAGGAGTGACATGATCATGGTCAGATTGTTACCTGCATCTTGCCCTGTTGCAGTGTTCCCACATCTTAGCAGTTACTTTGCATACAATGTTATCATAGATGATTGTCAGAATTAGAAAAATAACTTATAATAAACATGTCCATGCAGATTCTCAGTCATCCAGGTCATAGTAAGCTAAAAAAAAACTAGAGAAATCAACTGGACTATGTTTTTAGGTTGAAGACGTTTCACCTTTCATCTAAGAGGCTTCATCAGTTCTGCCCGACTGGCGTTGAGTCAGAGATATGTATCCCCATCGGTGGTGTTTCAGTCCTTTGAAGGCCAACAATGTTCCCCTAACGACTGAGTCGTTATAACCCAGTATTGGTGAGTGTCGTTACCTGTCTTTGAATCCTCCCCTGTGGACCAACGCCTGTTGTCCTAGTGGGCATGTTTGGGCAGAGATCTCAAAACAGAGTTGTAGATGGATGACAAGTGGTGTCTTAGTACACCACCCCTATTTAGTGAGGGATATTCTATTTCAACAAAAATAGCTTCCTTGTTTCCTCTCTCAAGCCAGCGATGTTCTCTAGAGAGGATCTGGATTTCACTGTCCTCAAAAAAATGTCCTTTGTCCTTCAGGTGGAGGTAGACCGCTGATTCCAGTGGACCAGAATCTGCTGATCATGAAACCTAGTCCAGTTGATTTATCTACGTTTTTTCAACTTATAATAAACCAGAATTTTCCTTTATTGTGGGAAATCAATTTGTAATTTGAGCTTAACTTGAAATCATCTTACAATTTAAAGAGTGAGTACCTCTAATCATTTATTTATTGAATGTATATACAAATGAGAGAGACATAGACAAATAAAGATGTTTAATTAAAGAGGAGAGACAGACAAAAGCTAGAATGCTACATTTGTACAAGCTGCATTAGAGGAGATTATTCATTTTGTATTTGGCTTTTCTGATTTTACAGTCTCCATGGAGATGGTTGTTAGTATGTCAGGCATGTAGGTCCTCCCACTCGGCCAGACACATCCTCAGGAAACAGAAGCTCATGTTCTCCTACTGCATACTCATATATACTGGTTAACAGACTAAGAACACACACACTCAGTAGCATACAGACACTTGCATGGGTACATACGTTTGTATGCATGTATGTATGTGTGTGTGCGTGCATGCTGGACCAGTAGTTCATAATAACCGAATCACACTAAAGGGACTCCTTAACTCAGACCCTGCGGGTTGTAGACATCAGAGTCCAAGGTTTTGTAGAAATAGACAGTCTGAAGCAGTACGTATGTGTGTCTCCTTATTAGCTGTATTCTGTGTCTGTGTGCAGGGACAACTATGCGTCCATAGAAGTAGACTGTATATATTATGCAGACCTAGGAGAGCCTTGTACTATAAATAAAACAGGGCTGCAGTGTGCTCACTGGCGGAATAATCTATCTGACGCTATGGAGAAAGAGAGAGAAGGAGTCAAAGAGACAGGGAAGATCTGAGAGAGAAGGAGAGACAGCAATGAAGCCGGGTAAGATCAGGGAAAAAAGAGACCAAAGAAAAAGAAAGAACAGAACAAGGGCTTAGCAGTGGAAAGAAATAGCACTAAAGGTGAAAAAGAAGATGGCCTCTAGAAGAGATACAGTAGTTAGCACCATGAAACAGCTAGGAGCCATATTCACAGGGTCAGTATAATGTTTTCACTCAACAGCTCCCTTTGTAATCTCCCACCCATGCTCATTTCAATCTCTCTTCTTAATCATAAGGAATATGAGTGCATGTGCATGTATGCACTTTTTGTCTTTATATAACTGAAACGTTTGGTTCTTAATTTCCCTGTGTATCAACTCAAATACTTCATATCTTCAAAGCCATTACAAATGAATATGATCATAGGTCAAATGTGTGGGCCCAACCAGTGGCACTATGATAATGGGGACTGTGTCCTTAATAACTGGGTCAACAGTTTACCCAGTTTTTACAGGTTCTTTATATAGATTGGCCTACATTATATCTTCATAGTTACTGTATCTGCTGTTGCTGTAATTATGATTTGTATTATACAGTACATACAACATTATGTGCTTGTGTACATGCTGACAAGCATATGTGTCTGTGTGTGTAGGGATGTAAGTACAGAAAAATGTTTATGCTCGTATACATGTTTTGTGTAAAATAGAAATTGTTCTAGAGATGGAGTTACTTGTATGATCTTAGGCCTACTGTATTTTCTGAACATTCAATTATGTGGAGCACTTATTCTAACTTTTATAATTTAACATATGTTAACAAAAACTAACATTGCAGAATGTAAAAATGTACGTTGAAGAGAAAAAGCTACACACAACCCTTGATTGCTATTGACCACATACTGTATAGTACTTTGCATTATTTTTAATATATTTCCAAGGCTAAATGACCGAGTATATAGTTGTTGCCATAATATGACCTTGAGATGTTTCCACTGACCTGCAATTAACTTGGATAGCGGAAAATAATTCTGTAATTCGATATTGGTTCAAGAAGTCAGGTTTCTCTCAGTCAGAATTGAACAAAAGCTTCATTCTTTATTCACCCTTTTATTCACATTCATAGACAATAGACAGAAATTACAGAACAGGCAGTTATTCGAGTAGTAAAAATACTCTACAGTAAATCATTATTTGTCTGTTAATGTGCTACTTTGGAGCATATTAGTTAGAGAAAAGTAAAGGCTGGATTTACAAAATGACCTTTTGTTTCCCTTTTTATTGCTGTCCCTGCCAGGTCATGGAGTTGAAGGGTCAGATGATCCATGTGCCTGAATCCTGCTCCCTGATGTTTCTGGGATCGCCACGTGTTGATAAGTTGGAGGAGCTAATGGGCAGGGGCCTCCACCTGTCAGACATTCCCATTCATGATGCCACGCGAGATGTTATCCTGGTGGGGGAGCAGGCCAAGGCCCAGGATGGGCTGAAGAAGAGAATGGACAAACTTAAGGTAGAAAGGTCACTAATTTATCACAGGGTCATCAGTAGCCCGTCAGAGTTTTTGCTTCTGTGTGGCTTCTTGTGGCTCCTTGTGTCACAACACACAAGGAGTAGTACTGTTGAAATAAATGTTTTTTGTCAGGTCTACTGGATGTAATTACCACTAATCTTTACCAGCTACCAATAGGGAATCTCAATCTAATTGGTCAAGTTTATGAACAAAACCACATTGTTACATTTGGGAATGCTTGAAAAACACAAGCCACACATTGGAATTTAATTAACCTCTCTTGAGAGAAAGCCCTATATTTTATGTACCTAGTCATCCACCTCAACCTCCTCCTAACATGGACTTTGTGTCTCTATATAATATGTCACCTTACTTACTCCGTTCCTCCTGTCATAATTAATGCAGTCGCAAGATGTTGCCAAACTATAACATGTAACATTTTATTGTAATAACCTGCTCACATAAATGAGGTATACTGTCATATTTTACGGGATAATAGTGTCTACTTGATCCCTGGTGAACTTGACTTGCTTTTTTCAAATAGCTGGGTGCCCACTGTGCTCTGAGCTCAATGTCGATGCAGTTCATTTACCACAAAAATAGATGCAGAGAGAAACTTAATCAAAATATGTCAAGCATGAGGTTTTGTTTATTGTCCATTTATGGTTTTAACCAAATGAGATGCACAATCAGCAGCATATGACTGTTCTTGACTTTCTGTTTGGAGCCTGCTCTCTGACTTATTCATATTAGGTAAGACCTGCCTACGGGCAACTAATCAGAATAACAAATAACAACCTGTGGCCATGAGACTTTGAAATAAATACAAAAATATTCAGTATATTTGGTGGCTCTTTACTTTAGATCTTCATTAAGTATGAGACACTGAAGCAAACCTGTTAAATTCAATGCATCAGCTGTAGTGGTTTAATTTTAGTGTGGCCAGTTTAAATCCATACTGGCTGGAAGAAAGAGGCTTCTGAGACTTCCTTTTATAATTTGCTGTCAAAGTACCCTGGAGCAAGTCACTGAGTCCTGACCCAGTCCTATGTAATGCATCACTTCATCACTGCAACTACTCTACCCCAGGCCACTGTTATAAATAGCTATATACTGTATCTTAGTCTCCCAGCCCGAACAATGGTATAGCACTGCATCAGACAGACTTGGCATTAAGAAGCCGCCCACAGACACAAATAAGCATATGCATATTGACTCAGTCCATAATAAATCAAACGAATACACAAGTTTTACACACACTAGCAGTTTTAGTATAGTGCAATACTCCCACGCCTCAGCATCCTTATCACCATTATCTTCACCTAAGCCAAGCACACAGAACAAAACCACTACATCTCTTTTGCTGTCTTCTCACCCAGGCCACATTAGAGCGGACTCATCAGGCACTGGAGGAGGAAAAGAGGAGAACGGTGGATCTCCTTTACTCCATATTTCCAGGTGATGTGGCGCAAAAACTGTGGCAGGGTCAGTCAGTGCCTGCTCGCAAGTTTGATGATGTCACCATGCTGTTCTCCGACATCGTGGGTTTCACCGCTGTGTGTGCCCAGTGCACTCCTATGCAGGTCATCTCCATGCTGAATGAGCTTTACACACGCTTCGACTACCAGTGTGGCATTCTGGATGTTTATAAGGTTAGTAGACAGACAGATGCACACATCTTTTTATGTGATGTAGTAATACCTGTTGCGGTATAGGGGGAGGACACATAATAAATGTGTGTGTGGGGGTGGGGGGGTTGTAAGGCAGCATAAGGGGTATTTTATGTGCTCACCTGTGCAGAATGAGGTCATCATAAAAAAATTTATAGTTTTTTAGGAAGCAATAGTTTCTCAGAAAAGTTACCAGCCAAGTTAAACCAGCAAAAACACTAAGATATATCACTGTCTGTGTGCATAGAATATACTTGTGTGTATGTGTGTGTTTGGTGTGGAAAAAGCAACTGATTAATGACCAGTCTGCGGAGACTTAACAAAGATGTGTCAATATTGTCCATCTGACAACATGGTTTTGGGCCTAGTTACCGTCAGCAGTGTTGTCTGCTGACTTTCCCTATTTTCATCCTTATTTTATAGCATCAGATCAATTTTTTCTCTTAATTTCTACTCTTTCCACCAAAGCTTCTCTCCATTATTGTCTTATTATCTCAGTCCCTGTGACAACAACATATCCTTGCCCATAAAAACATGCTTTTCTTCTGTGTTATTTTTTTCAAATGTCATATAAAATATCTGGAGGTAAGGATACAGAGAAGAAGGCAGAGAGATCCAATATATGTAAGAGGCTTTATGTCTATAGCAATGGAAGAGTGAGTGTGTGTGTTAAAAGAGAAGGCAGAAACAGGAGGACGTGGTGAAAGACTGAGGCACCCATATGGTGCCATTGTCATGGTTACTGTCGAAATGATTTAGCCAATGGCAGGCCTAAATGAAAGCAGTTTGTCTCCTAGTTTTCTTTTTTCATTCTTTTTCTCCTCTTGTGCCATCAATTTTTTTGTCTTTATAAAGGACTGTGTTAACTCTCATGACAGCTCAGCTGGTATAATGGCAACACTGGCACTCCCTATTTTACATGTGCTAATTTTGAATTTGGCTTTGGGAAGTAACTGTTTAATAAGGGAACACTTGTATTTATTGTACTTTCATGAAAACAGGGATTAGGAATGACCTGGCTTCCAACCCCAGTGTGTGACCCATCTATTACATACACTCAAGTTGCAGAGATAGTCCTCCTACGAAACCTAACCAACCATTTTAACCCCGTATCGTTATTTCATAACACTCACCTAAATTTTGAAGGTATCTTCCTAATTATCATAGACTTTTCTAATGATGAAGAATTAATAATAATCCAGTCTAGTCCAGGAAAAAATCATTTTTGTCAGTTTCTCAGGTAAACCAACTTCTTTTCAGTTAAGCAAAGATGGCGACAGGAAATGACTTTGTCGAACTCAGTCAATGGTGGAGCCGCTTTCCCACAAATCCAGAGTGACGACATCATTTCCTGTCACCGTTTTTGTAAGACAAATTGACATGGCTGAGAAAGTGATTAAAATTATATTTTTCCTGGGCCGGACTGGATTATTTTTTTTGATTCTGCATCATTAGAAGAGTCTATGAGGTTTTGGGAAATACATTCAGAATTTGGGTGAATGTTATGAAATGACAGTTCTAACTTGCCTTCACAGTGTATTCAGCTATTGTTAAGGTTTTCTAATTATTCTAATAATTTCTAATAATTAATATACCAAATACTGTATAAATTTAAAGGTCCATTTACTATCATTCTTTTAAGGGAATACATGTAAGAATAAAACCTCCCATTATGTTATGGCCAACCAATAAGGATGACCAAAGCGGTGCACCATTCAGGTAGAATTTTCTAGCATCTAACTGTAAATTTTCTTATTAATTTCTTATTCATTTTAGTTCCTACCCCTTTTCCTCAATTTCTCATGCAGATCGAGACAATAGGTGATGCCTACTGTGTGGCGGGAGGACTTCACAAAAAAATTGATAGTCACGCGAAGCCGATTGCACACATGGCTCTGAAGATGATGGAACTTTCTGAGGAAGTGCTGACACCTGATGGGAAGCCTATCAAGGTGAGTTTTTATGTAAGTGGGTCATTACAAAGATCTGTTTTGTTTGTCGATATTCCCTAAAGCTACTACAAGTACAGCATATGATCACTGAAACATGGAAGGAGGTTATAGCCATCATGAACTTAAAGATAAGATGGGATGCAGCCGAAGATTTGGAGCATTTATAACTGAAAAGCCTGATCACTACTTTCGTAAGACATCTCTGCTGCTAGAACCCAGAAAATAGCCTTATTAGCCTACATTTTTTCCTTAGTTTAAGTGACTGCAGTATTCCTCAGCAGTTCATATATGGTTCCATATGGTTGTTTGTCCCTTCCCTTTCATAAGACCCATAGGGGCATCTCATTAAATAGCGTTCCTACAGGTAGTGGGAGGAATTGCAACAATTCCACCAACATTAAAGACAGCATACATCACATTACCAAGCTTCATGGGCCTTTGTCTTCATGGAAATAGCCATAAACATGATGGCAGGCTTGATTAAAAATATGAACAGAGAATGCACAGATAAGAACAGTGAGTGAGAAGCTCATAGATGGAAGAACAGATAGCTGCTGACAGATAGAACACTGCACTGAGTACTGCTGTGCTCCTAACATTGTCCATTTGTCTCAAAATAGAAAGGCCTTGCCAAGCATTTTTGGCCTGCTCTCTTGCTCTTCCACTTTCACTCTCTCTCTCTCTCTCTGTCTTCCCCTCTTCCCACTTCTCCCCTCCCATCACTTTCCATCACACTCTCCTCTACAGCTACTCCCTACCCCACTTCAACTTTGTACGTGCTTTTTCTCTTAGTTTTTATTTTTGTTCTCTTTTTCTCTATATTGCACTCTCTGTTATGCTCTCCTCTTTCTTATCTCTCTGTGCTCCATGTTGGTATGTAGGAGAGTTATAGAGATATTCAACACTTCACTGTGATAAATTTTGTTCAGCGAGTGCACTCAGCTCCAGCTAATGTTGCACTGTTATGCAAACTAGCATGAGAGCTGTGAAAGAGATGAAGAGAATGATCCAGGGACACACAGAGAAATATGCAGAGGAGGCAGATGTCCAGAGAGAAGCATATATCTAAACCAAACATTGTTAACTGTTTTCATCTATATTATTGCTTCACTGTCAGGCCTATAATATGATCTTTGTGGATACAAATATGCACATTTGTAAGTCTGTGTAAGTGAGTGGGTGTAGATACCATGAATGGAGTGCCTATCTTGTTACAAATACAAGGAATTGTGCACAAACTTTGTTGGATTTTTATCCATAAACATCACAGATACCATGGCATCTACTATACACGCTCAGTTCTACATTGTGAGTGCAGGCTTATGAGAGTATTAGTATTAAACGTGGGCTTGTCATAAGTAGCTGTTTCTTTCTGATTACATGTTCATCTTGCTGTTATCAGCACCTTTAGCCTTGTAATTCATCCTCCCGCCATGAAGATGATAATCTTATGATTTAGTTGAAATTGTTGGAGAGGTTTTGATTTGACCATGTGGACATTTTGCTGGATGAGGTTTGTGGTGCTGTTGAATTGCACTGTGTTATGCTGGATTTAGAGTTCTGCATTGAAACTACACGCTAGATATGACATAGGTAATGTGTAGTCTCGTATCCTACACTGTAGCCTGACTTACACCTCTCCAGAAATGTAATGACACAAACAACAACAACTATGATTGATTGCATTACATTTCCTTGTTCATGTCTCTCAGTGGGACAACAACAACAATTGTGATTGATTGCATTGCACTTCCTTGTTCATGTCTCTCAGTGGCCGGACAAGCATGAAAAATCCCCCCTCGTTCTGCCTCAGTCGATTCAATGATTGTACAGACCGGCTCCTCCTCATCCTGTTTTCCCTCTTATCTATGTTGCAGTAATTTCAGTAAAAGTAACTGCTGTTTAACACCTTTTAGTTGTAACTCCAGTGCCAAGTGACGGAGAAACACAACACAGTGGCACAGAAACCCCACTGTCAACTAGCATTTTGTTGGAGTAATTGCAGAGCAACACATACACCAACACACAAGTATGAATGCTCACAACGCTGCAGGCTACACAAGTAGATTCAGGGCAGAATCATAAATCAAGCTTTACACTGAAGGTGTTTCCACAACATTTATATTTGTGAGGGTAGGCTAAATAACAGTATCAACTCTCTGCATAATGCGGTACAGTACAAATATTATCACTTTCACAAACCGCTGTACTAGAGTGCATTTGTTTTAGCTAGGTGTGCCTAATAAACTGGCGACTGAGCGTATATCCACCTTAATTGACTTTATAACAACTCCCTCCTCTCTGTGCCTCAGTCAGTCTCCATCTCTGTATGCATCTGTGAACTTGGCCAGAGGCTAGAATGTGATTGGCTGTCTGTGTTGCTGTGCCATTTGCCCATTGGCTCG